CTACTACTACTACTACTAACTACTACTAACTACTACTCCTACTACTACTACTACTACTACTACCACCACCACACTAACACTACCACTGCTGCTGCTGCTGCTACTACTACTACTACTACTTCTACTTCTACTACTCCTACTACTACTACTACTACTACTACTACTACGACTAACGACAATAATGGCTAGTATTACTATGATTCCAACCTCTTTGTTAGGGTTCCTTAACCCGGGTACCGAGGGCAAGTGCATAGGATAGGGTGTTGTTCCGGGCTCTCCACCGCCGCGGCTTTGTGGCTTGAGGGTTTGATTTTGCAGTTTAGGGTTAAGGGTTATTATTTCAAGAACATAGCCCTGTCTACTAAAGCTTTCATGATTTTGGCTCGGGTCCCGACAGCTTACAGACACATAGGTTGTGTGGAGCTTTAGGGCTTTAATTGGGTGTGTTGCTGACATGTTGCATCAAAAACAAACTGGAGTCGTGGTATATTAAAGTATATAAAAATTACAGGGACTGTAGGGGCAGGTTTTGCGCTCTGAAGTATATGGGCTTGAATACTCAGCAATACTATTCGGGTGGGGGGGGTTCCTTGTGGAGTCATGGTGGGCGACGCACGTGGTTGGAATTGAAGCTGGTCCTTAAAACGGCTGCCCCAGTATAATTGCAGATGTCTCCACACTACACCATATTAGAGACACGTTTACAACCCTTACAGGATCCTATTAGCGCCCAGGACGTGTGGAGGCTGGAAAGCACGTCTGCGCAAAGATGGATGCCACGGGCGTGTTCTCTTGCGCGAGCTTGCTGGACAGCATTTCCGGGGTTGCAAAGGATTTGTTAAAAACATTGTTGTCCGGAAGTTGGGAAAAGTTCCCATAGGCCCCATAGTAGTTCTTTTTTGGGATTACCTAACAGGATCATAGATATAATCCACAAAAAGGAACTACGATGGGGCCCATGGGTTTCAGCATCATGAAAGCTTTGTTTCACGAGCAGGCCTCGCAGTTTTCGTGGCTGCGAAGTGACAGAACCTGTTAGAAGCCTGTGAGCCCGTAAAAGCACCGAACGCCCCAGCCAACACACTCCTAATATGGGGGGGCCTAAATAATTACATATACTATTTTGGGGGGTTCCTTATTATAATTATAGTATAATGTTGGGTTTTCCTATATAATAAAAGTATAATGGGCCCCAAAACCCTTATTAAGGCCCCTACATTATGTAAATCTGATGAAGTCCTTTTGGAATCCTCAGCCCTGAACGCTATCTCCGGCTCCATAGGGTCTATACTTTTATTATAATAGGAAACCCCCAACATTGTACTATGATTGTAGCTGCTGAAGATCAGAAGAGTCCATAGGTCTGGTTTCTAACACTAGACGGGTTATTCAATAGAAGTCCTATAGAAATCCCTTGAAGGGTACCCTAGCCCAACTGCGTGCGTCTTGTTAGGGTTCTTGGGGACCCCACCTGGTGAGTACCACTGGCGTTTTTAGGGTTTAGGGTTTAGGGTTTAGGGTTTAGGGTTTAGGGTCATGATTTCAATGCTGCAATGGCTGCCGGCGCTGTGGTCATCGTGATTATGTAATATCGAGGAATTACGACAAGCATTTCTTCTTCTGGCACCAGTATGATCATAACAAAAAACCCGAAAGCCTTAGACCAATCGTTCAAGAGTTCTAGGGCACCAAAATACCAAAACTATGTTTACTCTACGAAGCAAAACCCCGAAAACCCCAAACCTATGAAGGTCTAAACCTCTGCCCACTGAAGCTTCACCGGTTAATGTTAACGTGAAGGTCAGTAAGAGATACCCATTTGGTTCCTTGTACCTTAGTACAATGCACTGCAGCAAATTAGGTAAGACCCCAAACTCGCAATTCTGGAGGAGGACACCGACCGAGTCCCTCTCGAAGTGTTCAGCTCCTTGGACGCCGCCTCAGATTCTTCAATCGGGGCGGGGGTTCGTCCTTATCTGAGTTGTCTAGTAGTAGAGTAGGTAACCTTCAACGGTTTTGGGGTACTAGCCATATAATCATATAACCCCAAAGGTGAAGCTTTAGTGCCCCTACATGGGATACTGAACAAGTAGCGTTCAAGGCTTGAGGTTAAGGGCTTCTTTCTTGACACTTGGGGGTTAAAGTTTAGGGTTGAGGGTTT